CAAGGCAAAATCGAAAGTTGTAAAAAACTCAGTTCTAGTGAATACTCGTATATAGGACTATACGCCGTTCTCAACACATATTGGCCAATATGGCAATTTTCAAGTCAGTATTAAAATCCTTATCAAAAAATTACATGTTATGTAAAATAATAAAACAAACAACTTTTGCCTCGGAGGCACCTTCAAATTCTTAGTCAAAATCAAGTAAAAAAACAAAAATAATAAAAAAAAACTTTAAAAAAGTAAAAAATTCATTTGAAAAAAAAACATGTTTGAGTGAACGTAGTTGCAAGCAAGATAACATATTAGTCTCTTCACGAAACCCCCGAACATGTTGGGCGTGCTGCACGACTTATAGGACTATACACACAATCTTTTGAGATAATAAAAAAAGTGCATATTTCAATTCCTTACTAAACTGTGATTCAATTGCTAGTGATTTTCTGTGGAAAATCATGTGCTTTTCCTCGCCACTTCTAGTGGTTGTCAAAAAGTACCTTTTTATTGTGATTGTTTTACTTCATGTGAAATCTTGCTCCTGCATGAGGCCTAAATATTGTACTTTTATAATCTTTAATAAATTTCGTTCAAACCCAACGTTTTTTTTTTTTTTTTGGTTTTCATGAATCCTATGTTTACCGTGGTCACCGAGACAAAAAAAAAGGGGGTTGTATTTATCCACGGTCTAGTCGAAGATTCATTCGCGTTTTGCACATTTGCTGAGGAGTGGAGCAAGGGCCTAAGTAGGGGAAACGAATGGAACAACCCAGAACATGGAAAGGTACGTCGCTACTTTACTCTTACCTTTTTGCAAAGGCTCAGAGCCCCCCAGCCGTGGTCCAGAATTGAGCCTACTCAGCCTGGATCCGACCCCGTTGTGCAAACAAAGTTGGTCTCATTCACTCGAACATAACGCATATGTGTTGTAAACAAATACAATGCACGGTACGCGTTTTATTCGTTTCCAACGCATATGCCTTATGTTCGGGGGAAGACGGTAGCAATGGGATAGGATAAAAACGACTTCATGGGGCAGTTGAGTGACCCAAATCCTGTCGTGCAGCACTCGTGATCCCACGGTCAGTATTTTACATGTATTACCCAAGAAAGTAAGGAGATTTTTATTCCCCTCCTCCTTTCCTTAAACCACCAGTACTTGGCCCAGCTACAGATGTTGAGCCTGGAATGGCCCTGTGTGCCAATTTTCGTCGAAGCATTGGAGTACCGTTTTAATTTTTTTTTGGTTGGTGCTTCCAGCCATTGTGGTCCAGTACCCCAAAGCCCTAAAAGCGCAGCGCCGCCGACCAAGTACTAATGGTTTAACACTAGGCATGCCCTCGCAAAAAAAGTTTCCCGCCAGAATTTTTTCAATCGGTTGGGAGTGTGGCCAACCCCAAAAGAGGGTGGGGTCGGCCATTGGCCCACTGGATAGAAGATTTTCAATATTTTACTTGCTGTTGTGCAATTATCTCATTGGGTGGAGCCCTCCATCAAGCACCGAGTATATGGAGGGTGTCAGGATCACTGCTGACAGAAGTCGAGTTTATTCCAGAAAACGTGGCGGTTACTTTGTTCACTTTTGTTGCAACCACCACCATCAGATCATTTATGACATGATCACCAACAAATTATTTGTGATCTGATGGCTGGGAAGCACTCTGCCGTGATTTCCGGTGAGAGGTCTTCGTTTCTTTTTTTTTCTTTTTCCTTTCTCCTATTTTCTCAGCCCATAAATTCGTAATGAACTTGTCAGTCCGCTGCCACTCAGTGTCCATTGGATCGGCCACACTTTTTTTTTTTTTTTTTTTTTTAACACATCGTTTGCGCGAGCGCCTGCTAGCGGAGTTGGTAAGAGCAGCCTCCACTAGCAGCCCTCGCAAGGTCGATGGCTCCATCCTATTGGTGGGGAGTTGCACCTGCTGGAAAAGGGGTCCAACGTCCCATTGAACATATGTTTAGGGTACAAATTTTTCAGCAAGTCAGCAAATCAAGTAACGACTACTCAAAATGGGGGCAACATGTATTGCCCTCTCAAGGAGGGGATTAACTGACCCCCAGCTAGATACTTACCATCACAATTCCACAGTTACTTCCCCACCCTATTCACCCCCAATAGCCGATGGCACGCAACCCTAATTTCCACAAGGAAAACATTGACGGTAAGTCGGGTCTTAGCCCCATGCTCCTACTTACAGGGGCAAAGAGTCTCCCACCAAAATACCCCTACCCTACATCTCCCGTCCAAAATCTCTTGCCACAATGTCATCAGGACATGGGGGGTTGATGTGCAAATCCCCCCTCTGGCGAGTACACAAGTTACCCTAATGTGAGAAAACTACCAATAGCTGGGAGAAATGCACTTATCCAGATAAAAATTTCAAACAATCGTTACGCATCCCCCTTTAAATCCGGTCTGCTGGATCTGGTTCTCCTCGAATGGTACAGGGCGCTCTTACGTAAGGACACTTCACACCCTAGCAGTGAACTCTACCTATAGGATGCTTCGTCCTAAGATAAACCTAAAAGACAAAATAGAAGATCGTTGGATGAGGCATCTAAACATAAGTATATAAAAATTGCTCTCTATTAAGTGGTTCCACTCTATTAAATCCAGACCAGCTAAAGTAGTGTTGCTGCAATGGCAAATTGCCCATTGTTGTCTCCCTACAAACGACTGGATCATCGATGGAACATCGTTGGAACGAAAAGGAATAGCCCTTCCGTGGTGTAAGTTCAGCAAATCAGCCTTCCCATCCAAACTCGTACCGGAAACTTTAGAACACATTTTCTTGCAATGCCCAGGCTCAATTTGGCTATGGCGGTGGTGGGATAGGATTTGGAGCCAGTTAGGAACATCCCTCCCTTGGTCCTGGAATTGGAAGACCCCCCTCCTGGAATCCTGGAATCCGAACCAGGAAGATGCTTTCACTCTGAACCTATTCACAATCGGAAGGCGAGCGGTCATGTGGGCGATCTGGTTATGAAGGTGTACTCATGAAATGGAAGGTGCTCGCCTAGATGGTCCTAAATTCACAAATACCAGAAGACAACAGATCCAAACAGAGATCACTATCAAATTGGAGTCCCTTAAGGAAGAATTACAATTTCTATCACTCGAAAAAAAAATATCGAATCATACAAAACATTCAATCAGAATTGGCTTTGAGGGGACCAGGGAGGGAGATTGAAATGGGTGAAGTGGGAAGGAACAAAAGAGAACGCCCAAGAGGAGATCCCAAGGAACTATAACCTGACCTTCAATGACAAGAGCAACGTTGATCCTACTGTACCTTTAAGACCTCTGTCGGATTTCCCTGATCCCTTCCCTCTCTCAAACCCTTGCTTAGTTCCCAGGTCGTGGTATGCGTATAAATGATCGGAAAAATCCCTTGCATTGTCTGTGAATGTTGGGGTCGACATTTCTCAAGAACAAGTGTGATCAAGTGTTAGGAAGATACGTATATATTGCGCCCTCTCAGGGTGAAGAGGCACAAAACTCAACACTCAG